TGCTATTTGCCAAACCCCTTTTTCAACCCAGGACAGCCAGTGCCGATCCGTAGCAGAGAAAAACAACCATGGTTCACTAGCTTCACTGGCAATCCATTGGTGGCAGAACAGCGGTTGTCTCTTTAGCACCTCCTCCTATATCTTTGGGTTCATGGGTTTAAGGGGGTTGGATTTTCTGCCAGGCCCGTAGCAGAGTTGCCCAATAAGGTGTGATATTTGCGGTATTCTGGGCCGAGGGTGTCCTTCCTGTTCTCTTGGGTTTGCCTCTCTTCATTGACCACTCATTAGACATCACCCAGAAGGTGGCTTCCATGCTGTCAGGGTAATGCACTGACGCTAGGTTTCTGGTACTCCAGAGCCATCTTGACCCAAGGAAGGCGGTGGGGGTGCAATAGCTTAGTTACCCATTATATCTGCAGGGTTGCCAGTCCACAGGAAACACCTCACCCTTGCATTAAGGCACTAGTAGATGGGCACCTGGCCCGCGGGCTTGACACCTCAAATTCTGGAGGCGCGAAAGGAAAACACGACCGCCGATTGAGTTTATCAACGGTGGGCCCAGCGTTTGATGTTTCGGCCTCGTTTTCTTGTGGCGACAAGTTTCCGACTGCAAGGCTGGGGCCGTGTACTTGTGGTTTAAGAGCCTTGAGATTGTCATCTGGTGGTGACCAGATGGATGACATATACCGTAGAGTAGAGTAGATTGAAGTACTAATAATCAGCACTCTTGAAGTGAAGCCTGGGCCTTGGTGCAGGGGGCTAGCTTGGTAATCATTTTGTTTGCCAGGTCTAAGTATCAGACCTTTTCGGACGAGTAGATCGATATTTTTTTAGGCACCAGACCCAGTCACCCTAGGGAAAGGGCATCTCAGCAAAAATGATAAAAAATTCAGGTGGAACCAACTTCTTGATTTTCCTTTCTTTCTTTTTTTCACCCAAACACACACTCATGCCCCTTCTATTCTGGGGCAACAGTTTGGTTGCTTAGAAAGCAGTGAGAAATAAAAACAGCTCTGCCCTGGCACTAGTTGCCTCCAGCAGTGAACTGTTCTTGCACTGCAAAGGGAGGCAGCAAGACCTTTCAGCTGTCTTTCGGGCCATTCGCCACCCCTGCTTTCTAAGTTTTTCATAACACGCTTACTGTGATCATTCCAAGTTGTGATAGGTGACCCCTTCCTGTCTATTTAAGTTTGTAACAAATAAAACCAACTGTATATATGCACCGTATTATTGCCTACCCTATTTTTCTTCTCTCTTACCTCACACTAGCTACCCATATCTATGCCCTACCCACCAGAGTCTAAGGTTAGGGTCTAAGGCAAACTCTGTGCAGGGTTACTAACTTACTAACCTTAAATGCACTAGCTTGACCTACCCACCAGAGTCTAAGGCTAGGGTCTAAGGCAAACTCTGTGCAGGGTTACAAACCTTAAATGCACTAGCTTGGCCTAAGCTATCCTAAGGTTATGGGACTATGCCTACCCAACTCGCTCTGTGTGGGGAGCAGCACCCAAGCTCCTAGCACCTGGCACGGGCTGGAAAGTGCCCTAATACTTCCACAACCAGCCAGGAGGGAGAAGCCGACTTTCTCAGCCGGTGGACCCGAAGTATGCCACACAGGGGTTCGTGGGAATCGAACTCACGACCTCCTGTGTACTGTTTTCACACCTGCATCTCCTCTATCAATCGACATGGGGTCAACATTCCCTATATGGCAAACACAGAGGCCACTACCCTTCTCCACTACAAAATGTACACTAGATGACTGCATCTCACTTCCCTGTGTGTTTGATCCGGAGTTGTTACTCCCCTCACTGTTGTAGCTTAACAGGCTCCCAAAGGAATATGAGCCCTGGGGCAAGTCCAGGCTAACCAGGGCAGGAAACGAGTTCTACGTTCTACAGAACAGGGAGCTTTCCTGCAGTGGGACACGGGGCTGGAGGTGCTTGTGCTGGAAGTCGGTTGCAATTGCTTGTCCAAGCGCTTCCTTCACCGCCACACGTATTGCTGCCATCGCTGGTCTCTCTCTGCCCCTCACCACTGCGCACCTGGTCACCCAGATTCCCCAGGCGCTGGTGGACCTTACTATCTCCTTCGGATACAGACTGCAGCTTTCACCCTGCCTGCCTTCCCTTCTTCCAAAAAAGAAAAAAAGAAAAAAGGAGAACCTTAAGGTTCTTGCTCGCCTGTCTTCCTTTCTTTGCGTGAGCGGCCTCAGCAGAGTCCAGCTTGGCATCTCTCACATTGTATGAACACGTGCGGAATTGTTTCATCCGCTTGTCTGCACACTCGACACTCTGCATCCTGATACTGTGATTTTGTCGCTTGCAACTCTGCGGTGGCTACTGCCAGGTGGATGATCATCCACAAAAGGTCGGCCTGCTTTTCGTCGGGGACATGTTCAGTTGCACAAACAGTCTTATTGTAACCAGGGTCCACTTCTCCATCACCTGTGGAGATACCTATCATCTTTTGCTCTATCTCCCTTTACTTTCATCTTTCATATTGTGCAGTTGGACGAGCTGTCTATACTGTGACTTTGTTGTAGTCTGGAAGTGTGAGACCTGTTTCCAGTGCAGAAAAATTGGTACAAAGCAAAAGGTTGTCGGGTCTGTCCCTGAATCTCCCTGTGTTTGAGCAATCCTATAAGGTCTGTACTACTCTGTATGTGACTCCTCCGGCTCTAACTTGCCTTTCCACGGTGAATGGCATAAACTGCTTGCTCTTGTTGTTGAGGTTACCAGCCGTGTCTTTTCATCAAGTTGGCTTGGTGTAGATGGCGAGCACTGTTATTTTTAATACAAGTGAGAAGGGAAGTCGGGCTCAGCAATAGCCAGTGAGATCACACAGTCCACTGCATCATTTCTAGGTCTGTTTGATGCATGGTGACTAAGGCTGCTGGAGCTCAGGTGGACATGGGTTTTCTTGGTTTCGTCAATTATTCTGGTGTTTTTTTTTTTTTTTTTTTTTTTTTTTGTTGGAACATGAGCAACCGTTTGTAGGGGGGGTGCTGATACGAGCAGACATCCCCTTTACTGTCCCCGCTCTTTGGATGGCTCCGTTCCATTGTTGGGGAGCCGCACCTGCTGGAAACCGGGTCCAGCGTCCCTTGACAGCATACAGCATAATCAGGAGCCTGAGTTACATGTCATACATAGAGTTATGGTAGTTGTTTGAGAGCACCATGTGACCACTTCTGCCCTGTGGTGGCAGTCCAATTGGCCATTGAGTCGTTTGTAACATTACTGCATAGCTATTGCGACTTCAGGTGACGTGCCCTTCCGAGACATGTCATGTTCATGCGCCCTTTCTGGCCTTGTCATGTCGTGGCTGCCAGTATCAGAGTAGATGATTGCCTCACCCGTCGCCATGTCGTCCTCATAGGTGTAGGGACCCTCCTCTTTCCTCACCTTGTTGCCGATGTCCTCTATCCAGTCCCATTCTGCAGTGGCGCCTCGTGCCGGGGCTGCTGTTGCGAAATGGGTAAGATGGGGAGGGGGGCCAGGGGGGAGGG